AGCCCCTGCGGGGTTCCAGGGGCTCCGGTACCCCCGGCCGGCGGAGCTGACCCCGCCGGGGCGGGACGGGCTCCGGGGCTGCCGGGCTCTATGTCCGACCGGGGAGGGGGGGGCTCCGAAGCGGGGTGGGGCTGGGCCGGGAGGGGAGCGGAGCATCTCCACGCGGCCCCCTCGCACCGCGGCCGCGGGTCAGGTCCATGCCCTGCTCCCTCCGGGATGCAGCCACCTCCTCGGGTCGGGGTCGGGGTATGCTTCACCGGGGCCGTGTCGGGACCTTTCTGGCCGGTGGTGGGTTCCCGCACGCCCGGCCGGTGCCGGCGAGCGCGGCAGGACGGTCACGCTGCCGCAGCCCCCGCCTCGCTGCCGCCGCTGTCCTTGAGCATCCCTTCCCTGGGAGCTGTCGTGGGCAGAGGGATGCAGGGCTTGCGGGCGTCCCGGCGCATCGCTGCCTTCAGGGTGGGTTTGGTGCGGTGCCGGCTGAACGGAGGTGGGGAGTTGCTCTGCGTAAGATGGAGGGGCTGGAGCACAAAGCAGGAATTGAGTTTTGCCCCCAGCGTGACGCTGCGGCATGGTTGCCCCCCCCCCCATTTGGGGTCTGCGGGGGGCAGTCGTGTGGCCTCGGCCGGCATGGACCGGGGTGCCGGGGCTTGGCCGTGCTCGAGAGTTTGTGTTTGCCGAGGGGCAGTTGGTGCTGCAGTGCAGCCTGAGCTGAGGCTTTCCTTGCTGTGCCAGCTACAGCGTATGCATGTCAGTTTTGGGGACCCCTCAGTGTGCCAGCCATGTGCCCTGTAAGAGAGCCAGAGATACCCCACGGTGGGCAGCTGGCTCCCAGGCCTCACCCCATGTCTTGAGTGCTTTTGGGATATCACCTGTGACCTTCTGTGTTGCCCTTCTTTGGCATGGGTTTGCTAAGGAGGATCTGGTGTCACTTCATGCCCCAGTTCAGCCCCTGACCCTGTGCCTGTTTCACCAGGGCTTCTGAGATGCCTGGGGACAGGTCAGCAGGAGCTTCCCATGCAAGGCTGAGAGAGCATTTGGGGTTTGCCCTGCCAGGCCATGAAAGCCAAGCTGAAGAGACCCAGCACCACATTTGGTCACAGCCATGTGCTCACAGGACATAGCTCACCAAAGCCCTGCCTCGCTCCCAGCGCTGCCTGCTGTGAGGGTGATGCCAGCCTGGGAGAGGAGCTTTGCTTCGTGCTCTGGGTTGGGGATTTCTGTCCTGGCGAGAAGTCACCCCCAGCACAGACGCTGGTTGTGGGAGTTGCTTGGAGCTGGGCAGCCCAGCAGTACATCCAGGCAAGTGGTCATAATTAAATCCTTTCCTGGGCAGCAGTGCCTGTGGGGGACTCTGTCCCAAAAGCTACTGTGGGGATGAAGGGGACTGTGTCCATACTGGCTCTGGGCAATTCCCGATGTCTAGGAAGAGCAGGGTACACAGGGCCGGTTGGAGGGGAGCTGCCTGTGTTGCTCTGTCCTGGGGTGTGGGCTTTGTGGAGGGGATGGTGGTGGCTGTTGCTTGTGCCCTGGCACCCCAGTTGGCGGAGGCACCCAGCAGGCACCCTCTCCTCTGCCAGGCCATGCTGTCTTGTCCCCAGCTCAGCCAGGGTCACAGTGTCACTTGGGTGATGCTAAGTGGCTTCACCAGTTGTTGGGCTCCTCCTGCACCGTCTGTGGCCCTGGTGTTGGGGAATGGGCATCTCTAGCAGGGACCGGGGCTGGCCTCAGCCCCGAGCTCTGCTCCCCTCTCCTATGCCGCTGCTTGTCACCCCCAGACTCCCGCAGCCCTCTCAGAGCCTGCAGGGCCTTGCTGACCTACTCACCTGCTGACCTGAAAGGGGCCATGCTCATCCTGCTGGAAAATGTTCTGTGCCCATCTGTGCCGGATCGCCATGGGCACAGCCCTGTGCTGCAGAGCCAGCGAAGACCATGGGGTGTGCAGGCAGCTGCCGCCCCAGCGTGGCACTGACTGACAGCCCTGCAGATGGGCTTGTGCATGGTCCGCTGAGCCCCGGGCATGGAGCAGCCGCCCTGGCATAGCAGCGGTGCCCATAGCTGCTGCCTGTGCCTGCTGTGGATGCAGGGTGCAGTGAGGTGGTGGGTGGGAGCCACCCAAGGAAGGGTGGATGCTGCAGGGCAGCTAGTTTGTTTACTCCAGCCGGTCCCTGCCCTTTCCAGCAATCTTCCTGACCCTCTTGGTGGGGCAGATCACAGGGGTCTTGGTGCTGACTGCGGTGCTGCCAGCTCTGCCTGCATGAGTGCTGGCCTCCATGTGCTGCGCAGGTACCCTCCCTCCCCCCAAAAACCCCACAGGGGCCTTAATAGGGACACACAGGGTCACTGGGGCTTGTGTGCTGGCGGGGCACCAAGCCTGTGCCAGGCTGGGCTGGAGCCAGCCGTGGCCACTGAGTGCCAGCTCCCTGCTGTGACCCTGCAGCAGGTGCTACCGGGAACTGAGGTTTGTGCCCTGGCAGCCTGGAGCAGGGAAGTCCCACGGGTGGCAGGATCTGCCGGGCAGGGCTGAGGCTGGGCAGGGGGGTCTGACTCTGTCTCTGCCCTTCCAGCTGGGATGAGAGCAGCTCCATCAGCAGCGGCCTCAGCGATGCCTCTGACAACCTCAGCTCGGAGGAGTTCAACGCCAGCTCCTCGCTCAACTCCCTGCCCTCCACCCCCACTGCTTCACGCAGGAACTCGACCATAGCGGTAGGTGCCTGTGGCACCCACAAACCCTTCCTGGCACCGGTCCCAGCTTGGTGCCACTGCCTGTATGGGAAGGAGGGGATGGAGGGTGCTGGCGTGGGGAAACTGAGGCATGGCACAGGGTGTCTGCTTCATCCCTCTCCCAGCTGGCTGGTGCTCCTTAGGGATGGGTTTGAAGTGGGTGCCAGGAGCACCCCTGACTCCACTCTGCCCACAGCTGCGCACGGACTCTGAGAAGCGCTCACTGGCGGAGAGTGGGCTGAGCTGGTACTGTGAGGGTGAGGACAAGGCACCCAAGAAGCTGGACTACGACAGCAGCAGCCTCAAGATGGAGCATGGCTCCTCCAAGTGGCGGCGGGAGCCCTCAGAGGGTGGCGAGGAGGGGCCCAAGGCTGGTGAGCTGAAGAAGCCTGTCAGCCTGGGCACCCCGGGCTCCCTCAAGAAGGGCAAGACTCCTCCAGTGGCCGTGACCTCCCCCATCACCCACACGGCTCAGAGCACCCTCAAAGTGGCAGGTGAGACCCAATTCAGGCAGGGTTCAGCTCCTCTGATGGGGAGAGGATTGGGTGGCACCTTCATGGGCCTCCCCTGAGCAAGTGGGCCACAGGATGCACTGTGGCTGTGCTCGGACCTGGCAGCCACTCCTGGGCTGGAAGGGGTGGCAGGGCTGTGCATCCCTGCAGGCAGGTTGTGGGTCTGGCCCCATGCTAGGCCCTGCTTGCCTAGGGCTGTGCCTGCCCCATGGTCTCGTGGCCACGCACCGGGCTGGAGGCTAGCTGGGTGCAGCAGGGGCCTGGCTGTGGCTCTGCCCCAACTGCTGAGATGGTGGCATGTCCCTTCTTCTCTATCACATCCCTGCTTCTGTGATGCCACTGTCCTGTCTGGGCTAGTTCACACCCAAATGTCCCCAAAGCCTCCTGGGACACTAACCCATCCTTCCCTGCCTACCAGGCAAGCCTGAGACCAAAGCCACCGACAAGAGCAAGCTATCTGTGAAGAGCACAGGCCTGCAGCGCTCCTCCTCTGATGCTGGCCGTGACCGTATTGCTGATGCCAAGAAGCCTCCATCAGGTCTCGCACGCCCCTCGGCCTCCAGCTCCTTTGGCTATAAGAAACCAGCTCCTGCCACTGGCACAGCCACTGTCATGCAGGCTGGGGGCTCGGCCACGCTCGGCAAGATCCAGAAGAGCTCTGGCATCCCTGTCAAGCCGGTCAGTGGGAGGAAAACAAGCCTGGATGTCTCCAATGCAGCCGAGCCTGGCTTCCTGGCCCCAGGGGCTCGTTCCAATATCCAATACCGCAGCCTGCCCCGGCCAGCCAAGTCCAGCTCCATGAGTGTGACCGGTGGCCGTGGCGCGAACCGGCCAGTCAGCAGCAGCATTGATCCCAGTCTGCTGAGCACCAAGCAGGGCAGCATCTCGGTGTCGCGGCTCAAAGAGCCATCCAAGATCAGCGCTGGCCGTGGCACGCCAGCCCCTGTGAACCAGACGGACCGTGAGAAGGAGAAGGCCAAAGCCAAGGCGGTGGCGCTTGACTCTGAGTGTGGGACGCTGAAGAGCGTTAGCTCACCTGAGAGCACCCCGAAAGCCCAGGCCAGCCTCCCACCAGCGGCCAAGGTGGCCGAGCTGCCCCCCACACCTCTCAGGTATGATCCTTCCACCTCCGAGGGCAGCAGGTGCCTGACAGGGCTGTGCTCAGTGCCCGGCTATGCCAAGTACCCAAGTCTCACCTGCTTCCTTACCTGTTTTCCCCTCTCCAGAGCGGCTGCCAAGACCTATGTGAAGCCTCCCTCGCTGGCAAACTTGGACAAGGTCAACTCTAACAGCCTGGACTTGCCCTCCTCCAGTGAGCTCCATCCCCCACACACTGCCAAGCTCCAGGACTTACACCCAGCCAGTGGGCACCTTGCGCCCTGCTTCAGCCCCAGTCCTGCCCCCATCCTCAACATCAACTCAGCCAGCTTCTCCCAGGGCCTGGAGCTCATGGGTGGCTTCAGCGTCCCCAAGGAGGGCAGGATGTACCCCAAGCTCTCAGGCCTGCACCGCAGTATGGAGTCCCTGCAGATGCCCATGAGCCTGCCCAGTGCCTTTTCAGGGGGCAGCACCACCACCACCACCCCTGCTGTCGCACCCCCTGCCAGCACAGAGGAGGAGGAGGAGGAGGAAGAGGCAGGGGATCTGGGCTGGAGTGGGAGCCCCCGGCTTGCACATCTGGACAGGTATGGCTGGACAGAGGGCATGGGGCTGCTGGGGCACCTCTGTGGGCTCAGATCCATCCCTGCCATTCTGCCATGACCTTTGCCTGCTTCAGAGGCTCTTCCTGCTACATTTCTGCGGAAAAGCTCCTTGTTCCCACAGCTCAACCCCCATGGCACCTTCCCTCATCTGTGCAGGAATGTCACTGATCTTTCCTTCCCTTCCAGTGCCAACCGTGACAGGAACACGCTGCCCAAGAAAGGGTTGAGGTAAAAGAGCCCGAATGACTTTTGGATGGCACTGGGGAGGGAGGGTGGCCGGGCATGTGAAGCTTTCCATGGGGGGCTGGTGGTGCCCTCCATGCCAGGGAGGCTGGGCTGCAGTGCAGCAAGTGGGAGCCAGGATGGTGCTGGTCTACCTCGCCATGCCTATCTCTGCTCTGCTCCCCAGGTACCAGCTCCACTCCCAGGAGGAGGCCAAGGAGCGGCGCCATTCGCATGCCATCAGCAGCGGGCTCCCCGAGTCGGATGACCAGCAGGACCTGCCCTCACCCCCTGCCCTCCCCATGGCGCTGGTCGGGAAGGGTCCACTTACCAGCATTGGTCAGTGCCCTCCACTGCCAGCCCCTTCTGCTTGCAGCAAGCCCTGTCCTTCCTGCTCCCCGTATTACTTGCTGATGCTGTCCTGGGTGGTGCTTTTCTCCTCGACACCCCCAGCAGCCCTAACACCCAGCATGTGGTGCTTTTGGCCCACCAAGGTGCTGGGTTGTGCCCAGGGGCCAGGGATGTCCATCACCTCCGTTTCAGGCCATCTCATCCACCCTTGAGACTCTGCCTGCAGGCTCCTGCTCCTCTGGGGGTGCCCGGCAGGGCAAGGGGTGATCCCTGCCCTGCTCTTGCCAGGACCTACATGTTCCTGGAGGGTTTGGGGCGTCCAGGCAGACAGGTTGGGGCTGCCAGTGGAGGGCAGCCGGCGATCAGGTGTTCCCCTCCTGCACCCGCAGGTGGTGGGCTCTGGCATGGTGGTCCCCAATTTGCCCCAGGGTGGTGGATTTGTCTCAGCCCTGTGGTTACTTTAGTGCTGGTGTCCTGGTCTTCCCAGTGTAAATCTGTGTTTTAGCTTTCCCCCAGCCCCTCCCTGCTTTGGGACCACAAGCCATGCTTCCTCTCTGCATCCCAGCTCTCGTGAATTGCTCCCAGCCCTGCTTCCCCATCCCTATCCCAGGTCCCAGGCGTGACTCTGAACCTGCCTCTTCCCTGCTTTCTCCTTGCAGTGAGCCCCACTGCCACTGCAACTCCACGGATCACCCGCTCCAACAGCATCCCCACCCACGACTCCACCTTCGAGCTGTACAGCACATCCCAGATGGGCAGCACCCTTTCCCTGGCCGACAAGCCCAAGGGCATGATCCGCTCGGGCTCCTTCCGGGACCCTGTGGACGATGGTGAGAGTGTGCTGCGCTCCTGCCCAGGTGGAGGAGGCTCCCGGTGGGGGGGCGGCGGGGCTCTCTGCACGCTTGTCCCTTCCTCCTGGCACTGCTGCAGTGCTGTCAGATGGGTTGGTGCATCCCGTCCTCAGCATCACAGCAGCATACAGCAGCCCTGAGGGGCATGGTGTACCCCTCTGTGCTGGCATCTGCCCTGAGCCACAGCCTGCCCTGACCCCTGTGGGTGCCTGGTGTCCCTGGATTGGCCCCAGGGTGTTGTGACACTGGGGAGGCAGGGATCCAGGCAGCCAGGGAGGGTGGCAGAGCCCCCAGGCTCGGCCAGAGAGGAGAGTGCAGATGAAAGGTGCTCCCCACGCCCTGCTGCACACCACATGCCCGGGAAGGTCACCAGCCATGCACTGAGAAACGGGCAGTGCTGAGCAGCTGCTGTCCCACCTTCTGCCTCCCCTGCCCCACCGTAGAGTCCCCCTCCACTGGGAGCTCCGTCCCCTGCACCCTGCTATGCCCTGCACCTGCAGCCCCTGGGGGTGCTACTGGCCAGGGGCACCCTGACATGCTGGGTTTTATTCTGTTGCAGTTCATGGATCGGTGCTGTCCCTGGCCTCGAGCGCGTCCTCCACCTACTCCTCCGTAAGAGCTGCCTCCGTGCTGCGCTGCTTTGTGCATGGCTGGGGGGGGCCTGGGTGGGAATGAGGGGGGCTCTGTGCATGCCTCTGCCTCGCGCTGAGCCTGTCTGTGCCTCTCTGGCCTCCTGACTGCCTTCCTCTGTCTGTCTCTCTCTGCTCTCGCACTGCCAGGCTGAGGAGAAGATGCAGTCTGAGGTGAGCCTGCACTCTCTGCTCGTCACCCGCACCTGCCACCATGGCAAGGGTGAGCACCTGACCCCTCTCACTCCCTCCGCTTTCTTCCCGCAGCAAATCCGCAAGCTGCGCCGTGAGCTGGAGTCCTCGCAGGAGAAGGTGGCCACACTGACGTCCCAGCTATCTGCTAATGTGAGTCCCCGTGGGAGCCACTGCCCGCTGCAGGACACGCTGCTCTGTCTCTGCAGTGTGTGGGGCTGGTACTGGCCTGCGCCCAGGAGAGCCTTGGTTTTCCCCTCTCCTGTCTCTTGAATCCCACTCCTAGCAGCAGGTGCTCATCCAGCCATGGGTGCTTGCCCAGGCGTGGGTGCTCACCTGTTTCTCCACTTCTCTCAGGCCAACTTGGTAGCAGCTTTTGAGCAGAGCCTGGTGAGCATGACGTCCCGTCTGCGGCATTTGGCTGAGACCGCTGAGGAGAAGGTGGGTGCTGTCAGAGTGCCGAGTGGGCATTGGGGGGCACTGATGGTTCAGGAGGGTGTTCGTGGGGCTGAGGGATGCTGGACTTGGGTGAACCTGCTGCGGCACTGCCCACCCCACGGGTGCCCTCAGGGTGGACGCTGCGCTATCAGGATGCACTTTATGCCTCCTGGCTCTGCTCCCCTAGGACACGGAGCTGCTGGACCTGCGAGAGACCATTGACTTCCTGAAGAAGAAGAACTCGGAGGCCCAAGCTGTGATCCAGGGTGCCCTGAACGGCACTGAAATCACCCCCAAAGGTGAGATATGGTGCTGCAGCCCCCAACCACAGGGATGCAGCTTTTTCTGAGCTACTTGCCCAAACCCAGCTGGGCTGCTCCTGCCCGGGGCTGGCATAGAGCCCCAGGGCACACCTCACTCATGTAAGGTGTTCACATGGGAGGCAGCTTCCCCCAGGCAGCAGCTCTTCCCCACCTGGGACTCCTGAGCATCAGAAGCCAGGGTCAGACAGCCAGAGCTGTTAGTAGTCTCAGTGCTGGTGTGTGGGGGGAACGGGATGGTCATCCTCCCTGGGACACCTCCTCACTGGGCCCTTTGCCGACAGCCCAGTTTTGGCTGCTGATCTTGGCTTTGTTCCCATGAGTGCTGTTTCAAGCCCCGAAACCCCAGTGTGAGTGCAAGGCGCTGGCAGGGAGGTGCCATGGGATGAGCAGAACAATGTGTGCTCTGGGCATCTCCCTGGCGTTTGAGGTCACTGTCCAGAATGGCAGTGCCCGTGTGGTGTCCGAGCCCCATGTCATCTTACGAGGTGGCTCTGAGAGCTCAGAAGGTGTTTTGGTGGGAGAAGGAAGAGGCGCAGGGAGGAGAGTGCGGGTTGCTCTGGCGTTGGGGCAGACACAGTTTGCTGATGCCTCCTTTCCTGATCTTTTCCACTTCTTTTGCTGGCCCCAGAGCTACGCATCAAACGGCAGAACTCCTCTGACAGCATCTCCAGCCTCAACAGCATCACCAGCCACTCCAGCATTGGCAGCAGCAAGGACGCTGATGCTAAGAAGAAGAAGAAGAAGAGCTGGGTGGGTTGAATGGGGTGCTGGGAGGAGGAGTGGGGCTTGGGGAGCCACTGGCAGGGTCTGGCCAGGGTCAGCCCTGTGAGCCAGCTGTTCTTGATCTACCTTGGCATTGTGGTGTTGGTCCACTCTGTCCCCTGGGGACAGCACTGGTAAGGAGCGTGTAGCAACTATGAACTTGTGTCTTGACATGTTGGTCAGGACTTCTTCAGCCCCTCTGGGAGCTTTCCGGCCCTGGTCCTGCATGCCTGCTTCCTTGTTTTTTCCCCACATCTTCCTTCCACCCACACAGGCTATGGCAGTGCGGGGGGGCCAGACACCTCGGCCAGGCAGCCCCTTCCCTGTACCAAGCAGCTCTGTGCTGGACACGCAATTAAGTCTTGCTTTGTTTTGTTTCTCTCCCCCTATGCTGACCTCAATCCTTTTTTTCCAGGTGTATGAGGTAAGTCCTATGCTGTCCCCTCCACCCCATGCTCTGCCCAGCCAGGGCACTCGCTCCATTTTGCGGGACGGTGCTCATAACACTACCCATTCCATCCATCCCACTGGCACTAACCCCCATCACGGGCCATCCCGGGGCCCCCAGCCAGGCTGTGTGCACCTTGGCTGCTTCCTTTAATGTTAAGGCCAAAATAAGCACCCGCATGGAGGGGCTGAACTGCCCCAGATGACCCTGAGGCAGCAGGAAGGGCTCGGATGGGGACCTGTGCCATGGATGGCGACAGTCCTCTTCTTGCCTGGGGAAGACGGGCATTCTCCTGAGTGCCTGTAGCCAGATCTTCTGGGACGGGGACCTCACTGTAGCCCTGCCTGTGGCACTGGGGTGTGGTGCTGCCCATCTCTGCATTGCCATGGCTGGCCTGATGTGACCCCAAATGGCTCTGTCCCTGTCAGGACCCATGTGGGTCCCAGTGCTCCTTTGCTGTCCTGCCATCAGCGGAGCCTGACACCCACCTGTTTTTTTATGCTGAAAGGCAATACTTGCTTTTGGGGATACACCAGACCAGCCTGCCTGGTGCCTGTGGGAGTTGTGCTGGATCCTGTCTGTTCTCCATCCTGTCTTCCTCCCACCTCCTCTCGGACCAGGCCCTGGCCCTCCAGGGGACACAGTGTGAGCCCGGGGTGCCTGTCCTGCTGTTGTCTCGCAGGCTGGTGGTTCATAAACGGGACCCAGTCCCAGTTTGGCCCCTGCGCAGTGTCCGTCCCTCCTCCCTGGCCTTGGCACGCTGCTCACCCGCCCACTACTCTGTGTGTGCTGTGTGCATGCTGCATGCCCAGCTGGGACCCCGGGTGACATCTCACGGAGGGCTGGCTGGCCCTCTGCATTTCCAGGGTGACCCCACAGGGCAGAGGGGGGTGTGGGGCTGAAATTGTCCCCTTGCACCATGATACCGGCTCTTCAGTGGCTGGAGGAGGGGATGTCCCCCTAAATGCCACTTGCTGGGATGACTGTGGTGGGCTGAATGTGAGGATGGAGTCAGCCCTTCCTGATGGACCAGGGTGCTGGTGCAGTGCCTGAACACCCTGATGTGGGTGCTGGCAGGGGGCAAGGCTGGGTAAAGCCTGGCCAGGACAATGAGTCCCACTGTGTGGGGCTGTTTGGTGCCATCCAGGCTGGGGCTGGAATGTTGCACAAAGGGCTGCGTGCCCTGATCTGTCAGCTGTGCCAGCAGAGCAGGGTCAGGCCGGTGCCTTCCCCGGGGCAGTGGTAGGGTACACTGCTGCCTCAGTGATGGATATGTGTTACTGCTCCCAGCTCATATTGTCTGTGGGTCCTGGGTAGACAGGGGCTCTGGGGCAGGACCGGGCCAGGTCTCTGCTTGCAAGGCTGCACTGTTGGGCTGTCCCTAACGAGCGTTTCTGTATCCTGTAGCTACGCAGCTCCTTCAACAAGGCCTTCAGCATCAAGAAGGGACCCAAATCGGCCTCATCCTACTCGGACATTGAGGAGATTGCCACACCGGACTCATCGGCCCCCTCCTCTCCCAAGCTGCAGCATGGTTCCACAGAGACTGCCTCGCCCTCCATCAAATCCTCCACGTCCTCCTCTGTGGGCATTGACACAGCTGAGTACGTGGGGCCAGGGCAGGCGGCATGGGGTGGGGAGGGCTGGTCATGAGGGCTGCAGGCTCCTGCCCTGGATGCGTGCAAGACTGTCTCTCCCTTGGCCCAGGCTCTTCCAGGCCCACGGTGAGGGTGAGCCGGAGAAGAAGGAGGTGTCAGAGCTGCGGTCAGAGCTGTGGGAGAAGGAGATGAAGCTGACGGACATCCGCCTGGAGGCCCTCAACTCAGCCCACCAGCTGGAGCAGCTGCGGGAGACCATGCACAACATGCAGGTGAGGACCACTGCCAGAAGTCTGGCTGGCTCTGAGGACCTGGGTGGCCACAGTCCCTGTACCCCCACAGCCGTGCTGCAGCCCTGGGATGCTGCCAGCGTCCAGCTCCTCACACTGTGCCTTAACTGGTTCTCCCCAAGCTGGAGGTGGATCTCCTGAAGGCTGAGAATGACCGGCTCAAAGTGGCTCCGGGACCGTCGGCAGTGCCAGGCTCCGTTCCCAGCCACGTCATGAGCACGTCGGCCTCCTCTTCACCGCGGCGCTCCCTGGGTCTCACCCTTGGCCACGCTTTCAGCCCCAGCCTGGGGGATGCAGGTAGGGTGACAGAGCTGCTGGCGGATGGGGAAGGGCTGGGACAGACACGTGTGTGTGGTGGGAATGTGCTGATACTCACCTGGATGTAGCTGTGTATGGGGATCTGTCGTGCCGCCAGTGCCACGATCAGCCGCAGCAAGATTTGGCTCAAGCTGGGCACGGTCAGGCCCCGTGGCTTGGCTCTCCCTGCCGGCACAGCCTCACTGCTCCGTCCCTAGATGTGTCCCCCATGGACGCTGTCAGCGCTGGCATCCAGAAGGACGAGCTGACGCTGAGGATTGTGGTGCGCATGCCGCCCCAGCACATCATCAAGGGGGTAAGTGTGGGCTGTATGGTGAGCCTGACTTGTCCCACTGCCATGGCCCTGGACAAGGGGCAGAGAATGCTTCTCTGGGGCTGGATGCAGTGCCCTAACTCTGCATACCTCTGCCTTGGCTTCTAGGACCTCAAGCAGCAGGAGTTTTTCCTGGGCTGGACCAAGGTGAGCGGGAAGGTGGACTGGAAGATGCTGGATGAGGCTGTCTGCCAGGTCTTCAAGGTAGGAGTGTGAGGACCCCTCTTTTGAGAGCCATCCTTTTACACTGCTCCACCATGCCTGATGCTCCCTGGCCCAGGTCCTTACCAGTGTCTCCTGGGGCTGCTGAGCACTGCTTGCTCCCTGCCAGCTGTCGGGGGCACTGACAGTCCTGTCCTTATCCATGTAGGATTACATCACGAAGATGGATCCTGCTTCCACGCTGGGCCTCAGCACTGAGTCTGTCTATGGCTACAGTATCAGCCACATCAAGCGGGTCCTGGACACAGAACCGCCAGAGCTGCCACTGTGCCGCCGGGGCCTGACCAGCATCGCTGTGACTCTCAAAGGTCAGTGTGGTGGAGAAGCTCCATCACTGTCCCATCTTCCCTCTGTCTCGTGGTGTCGCAGGCTGTGAGCAGGACCCTCACCCCTCCCCTTGCCTGCAGGCTTGAAGGAGAAGTGTGTGGACAGCCTAGTGTTTGAGACGCTCATCCCAAAGCCCATGATGCAGCATTATATCAGTCTCCTGCTGAAGCACCGGCGGCTCATCCTCTCGGGACCCAGCGGCACAGGCAAGACCTACCTGACCAACCGCCTGGCTGAGTACCTCGTGGAGCGCTCGGGTCGGGATGTCACTGAGGGCATTGTCAGCACCTTCAACATGCACCAGCAGTCCTGCAAGGTGAGACCACACAGCAGCCTGAAGTGTCCCTGTTGGTACTGGTGCTGCAGTCCCTGTTGGCAGCCATGCCATGGCCCCACATGTGACACCTGGCCCATTCATTGCAGGACCTGCAACTGTACCTCTCCAACCTGGCCAACCAGATCGACCGGGAGACAGGCACAGCAGACGTGCCACTGGTGATCCTCCTGGACGACCTCAGCGAGGCGGGCTCCATCAGCGAGCTTGTCAATGGTGCGCTCACCTGCAAGTACCACAAATGGTGAGAGCCCAACTGCACCCTCCTCCGGCGCAGTCTCCCAGGCACACACATGCTCCCCACTGCTTTTGGCAAGATCCCTGGGCTCGTGAACATGAGGCTGCATGGCTGTGCATGTCTGCTCTGCTCAGATCTGCTCTGCTATGGGTGGGGGTGATGCAGGGTGCTTTTTTTTCATGGATCTTGTCTCTCTCTGTCACTCACTCAGCCCCTACATCATTGGGACCACCAACCAGCCTGTGAAGATGACCCCAAACCATGGCCTCCATCTCAGCTTCAGGTGGGAACCATAACATCCCTGGGGAACATCCCTGTGGGGCTTTGGGGGGGGGGAGCATAGGCCATCACTCCTGCCCCTGGGCAGCCCACAGGATGGGGACACATCCTGTGATTGGGGACCCTAATGAGTACCAAGGACTGAGCCCCAGCCCTGTCCTTGCCATCCCAGAAGGACCTGATGCCCCAACCTTGGGCACATGCAGTGTGGGGGTGCTAGGAGGTCCCCTGAGGGTACTGGGGAATAGGGCAGCTTGTGTGGAGACCCAGCCCTGAACACCTGAGTCTTTCCCCCAGGATGCTGACCTTCTCGAACAATGTGGAGCCAGCCAATGGCTTTCTGGTACGCTACCTGCGGCGGAAGCTGCTGGAGTCGGACACAGACATCAATGCCAATAAGGAGGAGCTGCTGCGTGTGCTGGACTGGGTGCCCAAGCTTTGGTACCACTTGCACACCTTCCTGGAGAAACACAGCACCTCTGACTTCCTCATTGGTATGGCCTTACTGCGCACCTCCCTCCTCTACCTTGGGCTGCTGGGAGCGCCCAGGGACAGGGGCAAAACCCTCCCAAAGGAGCCTGGGGAGCTGACGTGCTGCCCCGTGTCTCCCAGTCCCACACAACCAAAAGCTGGTGGGCAATGCATACAAATGTTGCTTTTGCCTGGGTGGCATTTATTCCCATGCCCTATGGGAGCTGTCACCATGGTGTCAGCCAAGGCTGCTTGTCTTTCGGGCATCCTTCGTTGGGCACAGAAGAGCCATGCTTTCCCAGGCAGGTCTTCCTTTGCCTCACCATGATTTTGGGGGGGTAGACTGAACATAGCAGCCCCATTCCTTGCCTGATAGCTTGCTTTTTGCCTATGTGTGTCAGGTTGATGCTGCCTGGGCGATGCTCCCAGGAGGTGGTTGGGCCCAGGGCACCCTGTGCAGCCAGGGTTGCCTGTCTTGGTGCTCTGCTGTCACGGAGCCAGGGGCAGTATCTGAAGTAGGGGGACCCAGCTCCCATTTTCACACTCTGCCTTCCACCTACAGGTCCCTGCTTCTTCCTGTCCTGCCCCGTAGGCATTGAGGATTTCCGGACTTGGTTCATTGACCTGTGGAACAACTCCATCATCCCTTACCTGCAAGAGGGGGCAAAAGATGGGCTCAAGGTACCCAGAGTTGCCTGGCACGTGGGGATGCAAGCCAGTGGTGCTTGGGGACATGCTGATGCAGCAGTCTAACAGGATGGGGAGAGGGGAGGTGCTGGGATTTTGGGCACAGGTGGCATCTCTGTCAGTCCCTGCCCTGCCCTGTGGCTGCAGCAGGACATAGCACTGTCCTGGGGGGGCTCAGGGTGTGACGTTGCCAGCTCTGGCATATGGTGAAGAGGTGGCTGCTGCTTGCTCCCTGCCTGCAGGTCCACGGGCAGAAGGCAGCCTGGGAGGACCCCGTGGAGTGGGTGCGGGACACCCTGCCCTGGCCATCAGCGCAGCAGGACCAGTCTAAGCTGTACCACCTGCCCCCACCCACTATTGGGCCCCACAGCACCGTTTCTCCTCCCGAGGAGCGCACCGTCAAAGACACGACACCCAGCTCCCTGGACTCAGACCCTCTGGTATGGCCCTGCTGTGCTGCGCACCGGGAGGTTGGCCAGGTTGGGCTGGTGGAGAGAGGAGAGCAAGGTGGAGCTTCACTCTCCCAGTTATTTTTCACTGTAAAAAGCCTGATCTGGGGATGCAGAAACATTTTGCACTCCTGGGAGGAGTGGTGGATGTGGGATGGTGGTGCTGGCAGGCTGCAACACCCAGGCACATTGTGATGTGCCAGTGAATGGGCACGGCGTGGCGCTCCACGAGGCATCACGTCCACACACGCAGGCACATGCAGACTGGGGCTTTCATGTACATGTCCTGGTGTGTCACCTGGCGAGGCTGCTAGCAGACAGCAGGCTGCCATGGATGATGCCAGCTGATGGGCCAGAGCCTGTCCCTCCATGCTGCTTTGGCATGCTTAGCCTTGAGCATCCCAGCTGTGCCCAAGGCCAGACCCTGATGACAGGGAGGGATTTTGCAGCATCTCTGGGCTTTGCGTTACTCTCTAAGGAGCTGCTTGGGGTGGCTGATTTGTATGGGAGGGCATGGAGGGCCAAGTGGCCTTGGCCTTCCCAGGGCATCCGTGGACCTCTCATCCCCGTTGGGCTTGGTGCCATGCTCCTTTCCCCACAGATGGCCATGCTGCTGAAGCTCCAGGAAGCCGCCAACTACATCGAGTCTCCGGACCGCGAGACCATGGTGGATCCCGACCTGCAGTCGACTCTGTGAGGCCCGGACATGCCGGCCCAGGCAGAGGGGAGCTGCCGCCAGGCACCGCTCCCGCCAGGCTGCTCTCCTTTTCCTTTGGTGTCCCGGAGTGCAGGGCTGGCGAGTGAGCAGAGAGGAACTGGGGCTCCAGCACATCCCAGTGGAGCGTGGGGAAGCTCAGCCCATCCGTGGGAGAGCGTGAGGTGCCATCTCCCCTCCTGACCCTGGGGGTAGGAGAATCCTGGTTTCTCTTCTTGTTTTTTTTTTTCTGTCTCTATTGCAAACTCTCGGGCTTTGGGGCCAGGGCGACTGATGTGGCTGAGCCCCGGCTCCCGGGAGCCACAGGAAGGCCCCTGCGTGGGGCAGGGACCCCGTGGGAGCCACCTGGGCCAAAGCTGGGGGCCGCAGGAGGAGCGTGTGGCTGCAGGACGAGAGTGTGGGCATGAGGGTCTCCAGCTCCCTCTCCACCCAGCCAGGTGTAGCCGAGGGCAGGCGACGAGGGAGCCACTGCTGTGGGAAGCGCTGGCCGAGGAGGAGTGCGGCTCTCGCTCCTGTCTTTGTACGTTCCCTGTTTCACCTGCATGGCAGCCGCTGCAACCAGGACAGCCCAATAAACCCTGCTTTGGTTATTTTATTTTGTTCCCCCCCCTCCCATTTTCCTTTGGCCGAGTCCAGACTTCACTTTGGTCCCTTTTTTGTTCTGGTTCTTCACTCTCCTGGCCTGGAGCCTGTGGCCCGGTGCCCACTGCTTCCCTGTAAGCAGCACTCTTTCCCTTTGGTTTCTTTTGCAGCTGTTGGTTCCACCACTCAAACCACCTCTGTCACAAAACTGGTGCTCACTGGACGATCTCCAGTCCCTGAACCCACCTTCTGGGGCCTCACAGCTTGGCTGAGAGGGGACTTGGCAGCTGGTGGCAGCAGGATGCTCTCGGAGCAGCCCCTCACCCGGTGGCTCCCCCATCCCCAGAAGCACCAAGTCAGAGTCTGGCCCTGGGGCTGGGATCTCCCACCAGGTCAGCATGCCATGGGGCATCCCCCTCTGAGGATGCTGAGGCCTGGCCATGGGGAGGGTGCTGCTGCCCCATCCCTGGGCAGCTGGATGCCTGCTCTGTCCCCTCAGTGCTGGGAGGCATGACCTGCTCAATGTCCCCTCGGTGCTGCCAGGCCTGGGGGTGCAGGTTGGTGATCCATGCCTGGGGGTAGTCCCCATGCCACTGGCTCCCCAAGGCCCTGTGCCTTCCTGTGCCCTATGGCCTGGGAGGGTCTCGCTGTGCCCCATGTTGGTGCTCTGGGGACTGCTAGGGCTGCTCTGTGTCCTCTTAGTCCTACTGTGCAATGCCACAGGCAAGGCTCCTGGCACGGAGGGGATCAGCCCCGGTGCTGCCACGGTGCCTTAATCCTCAGCCGTGCAGGAAGGGGGCACGTGGGTCTTGGGCTAGCGCTGTCACAGCCTGCTCCAGCTGCAGTGTCCTATGCCTGTCCCCAAAACCAGCTTGGCTGGGATGAGACAGGGGTGCTGGCACTGGCCTGAGCATGGCCAAGCTGGGGCTGCTGCCTTGAGCACCCCTCGGCTGCCTGTCCCCGAGCATGGCTGCAGTGTGCTCTGCTGGGCCAGCACCTCCCTCTCTGAGCCCAGCTGGGCTCTGTGGCCTGCCTGCTCTTGTCTGCTGCCATCCAGCTCAGTTCCCGCACTCAGCTGGGGCCCTGGAGAGCCTTTTGGGGAGAGGTGACCCCAGGGCCATGTCTGCTGAGCCCTGCCAGGCTGGGGGCTAGGCAGCCTCAGCCCCTCCCCATGCCACGGCTGGTGTGGCCTTCAGGGACGCCTCACAACCCTCCAAAACAAGCATCTCCTCCACCGCCTGGCCTTGCTGCCAGTGCCGGTCGGAGGCAGCCGCCACCTCTGCCCTTGGTGCTCTCTCAGCCAGTGCATCTTGCCTTGCCGCCTGGCGCATCCTGGCCGTGGCGCGTGCGCCCTGTGGTGCTCACTTCTCTGTCTGTCCGACAGCCTCCCCGCCGTCTCCCCACTGCCACCCGGGGCCGGCCAGCCCGGCCCTTTTGCACAGGGATGTCCCTCCCCACGCTGGCTTGGACGCTAGGGCTTTCTCTTTGCCTTCTCTTGTGTTGCCACCGTCAGCTAAGGACTTGCTGTAAATAGATCTGTAGTCGAATGCCCTGCGTGAGTTGGTGGGGCTTGGCCGTGTGCCTCTTTCCTTTTTTTTTTTTTTTTTTTTGTACTCTGTGATAACTGTGCTGTGCTGACTTCTTTTCTGATTGTATGAGACACCGGCTCAGCAGCTGCTCGAGGCCAGCGGTGGGGACCCAGCTCTCCCCTCCAGCTCCTCTCGTCCTCCTCGGGGCTCTGTTGCCCAAGGCAGGAAAGGGCATGATGCACCTTTGGGGCTGCTCCATGCCTGGGCAATGCTGTGCCCTGGTGCCCTGAGGAGTCCTGTGGGTGGAGAGGGCTCATGCACCCCTCACATCGCATGGCCTGCAGGCAGCCTTGACTAGGTCTGACTTTCTTTTCTGACACCCCCAGGGAGCCACTAAAACGTTGACCAAACTGTCCCTGTCACCGGCTTGCTTGGGGCTGTGCTGCTGGGCGTCCCCCAGCCTGTTTCCTGCAGGTTTGCCCCATCCTTCCCCGGTGCGGGGTTGCCCATTGCCCTGTAACCTCAGTTGGGGCATGCTGGAGGCGAGTGGCACACTGCGGTGTAAATCAGGGGGAATCCTCATGGGGAATAGGAAGGGCGAGGGCTATGCCAGCAGGTGTGCCCTGGGCTGGTGCATGGTGGGGGGCTTTTGCTGGGCTTACCTAGCTGGAGGGGATGGGCCCTGATGGGTTCCTCCTGGCTTATGCCAAGTACCCCGTGTCCCCAAGTGTGGCAGCTGTCTGGGGGGACTGGGGACTCAGTGTCCCCTAATGCTGCCAGTGTCTGTGGGCTGACCCCCTCTGTCCCCAGAGGGACGGGGTCCAAGGTTTGCACTAACTCGTCCCTGTGCTACCCCCCAATGGTGCCCATCACCCCCCAATGGTGCCCATCACCCCCCAAAGGTGCCCATCACCCCCCCAAGGGTGCCTGTCACCTGCAACGGTGCCTGCTGCCCCCAAGGGTTCCTGCCACCTCCAAAGGTGCAGGTTGCCCCCAAAGGTGCCCGTGGCCCCTGGGAATGCCAGGAGCCCTCCTGAGGGGCTGGAGCTGGGAGACACCAGCGCCTCACCCTCCTGCCCCCTCGAGCTGCTGCCGCCCGGCGGCCTGAACCTTACAATTTTAGCTTTTTTCTATTAAAAACAAACAACCTTTTTTTAATTAAATAAAGGACAAAATGGACAAATTCCTGTTTTAGATGATCTGTGTAATTGACTGGGTTTTGTGTTTCTTAACTGCATGGTATTCCTGCCGAGGGGTTTTATAGCACTTTTTAAATTTCTCTTTAAGATTTTGGTCCAGATTTCTACTGCTCTCGCCTGTCTGTCTTTGCTTTTTCCTTGCATCCTCCAAGTTTGTAAACTTGCTCCATTTTATACCTGATGTTGAGACCCAACCCCACATTGTACATAGCTGCGGGAACAATCATAGGGAACAAACACCATCTGGACTCTTTCCACAATTAGTTGTTTTTACTTAAAAGAAATTTTAAAAGAAGTATAAAAGGAAGCCAGGAAAAGGCTTGAGGATATTATGAAAGACAGAAACAAATCCAGCCCTGCACCAAGTCAGCTCCTGCTGCCCACGCTGCCCGCACCAACCGGCATGTCTCTTCTCGGTCGTCTGTCTAACACCATTGGATTCAATAAAGTTATCTCCTGTACCGCCTGGCTGCTGGTCCTGTGTCCGGGAGACTGCAGGCCTGTCCCTGCGCGGAGAGGGGTAGGACAGTTGTGCTTGTACCGCTGCACATCCACCCCTATCCTCTGTGGCAGAAATCCAGGAAGGGGGGCTTTGTAAAAATGTTCCTTATTTGAAATCTGGGCTGTTCTGCAAGACGCTGAGAGTGGTTTTAGCGGTTGGGCACCCCTCTTCCAGGATTGCACTCCTGTTAATTCTGGAGTGTGCAGAAATGCTCCTGGTTTGAAATCCTGGCAGCTCCACAAGATACTGACAGCAGGGAGTCCCTCTCCTGGGGCAGGAGGGGCAGATTGTACCTGGGGTGTGCGGGGGGGCAGTGGGGGGCTCGGGGTGGGTGGGCATCCCCCTGGGCCCCTTTTGCCTCGCCAGGGCTGGTCCCCATCTCCCCTTTGAAAGGGACACGGTAGTGACAGATGCTGCCTCACATCTGCAGCACAGGGGGACAGGTGTGGGACAGTGTCCATCAAGCAGCGGCGGGGTGCTCTGCCCTGCAGCGGGGGTGAGGACGAGGCTGCAGATACCAGCTGAGGGGAAGGGAGATCCCGGTCTTCCCCGGGGTGGCTCGAAAGCTATTTTCGACTCCAGAGAGCAATGCTGGAGCGGGGACAGATGCTGCAGGAGCTATCAAATAATCGCAGGATGGTGATGAGTTGTAACAGGCTGCAGTGGCGAATGCAAGGCCAGGAGAGGGCACTTCCCACTGGCTCCCTGCTCCCGTCCAGAGGGTGAGTTCAAATAAGTTCATTACCCCGGTGGCTGCAACCCTGAACCTGGAGAGCGGGACCGGTTTTGGGGAGTCACGGCCCCTCATCTGCTGAGATGTGTCATGTGCATGCTCCCCAGCCTGTGCTCGCTTTGTGGCCCTGTGCAGGCAGGAGAGCAGGCAGCAGCGCAGCAGCAGCAGAGTTCCATGCTGGGCCCTACGCATGGTGGCCCCACAGGGATTTCCAGCCTGACAGCCATGGGGCAGAGGCAGTGAGCCGGAGGAATCGGTCCCCAGGCACGAGGGGATGCAGAAGGATGATGCTGATGCTTCAATTTCAGCCGGACACCTGTATTTGGGAAAACTCAGCTGCATGTTTCAAGGGTGACAGGCAGGAGAGGGTCCCGTCGGTTTGGGAAACAGCACCCATGGGCTCAGCGCTGTAGCAGGGATGTGGCCCCCATGCAGGGTCCCTTTCCCCACCTTCAGCAGCTGGTTGGAGCTCGTGGGTGTCTGTGGTGCGAGGTGGCTGGTGGAGGGCTGGGAGGGCTGAGAAAGGGAGCTGCAGGGCACCCTGCCCTCATGCAGGGCACAGGGACCCCAGTAGCAACTGGAGATGTTGGGTACAGCCACCATGTATGTACAGCACCCAGGATGTACAGTAGCACTGGCCAGGTACTGCACTGTGTGTACAACAGCAACAGGTGTGCAACTTCAACCATCAGGCACAGCATCCCTCAGGCACAGTGCCTGGCATATGCAGCAGCACCCCTGGGCTACAGCACCCAGCCTAGGTACAGCAGCACCCAGTGTAGATATAGCAGCACCCAGCAGCTCCTCCCAAGATGACCCACAACCTTTGTGCCAACAGCACCACCCTCCCCAGGGAAATGCAGCCCTTTTTCATAGACCCACAGAATGGTTTGGGTTGGAAGGCACTTTCAAAGACCACCTAGTACAACCCCCCCCACCATGGGCAGGGACATCTTCCACTAGATCAGGTTCCTCAAAGCCCCATCCAGGGCTGGGGCATCCACAACCTCTCTGGGCAACCTATTCCAGTGCCTCACCACCCTCATTGTACAATATTTCTTCCCTATGTCCAATCTAAACCCAGATTCTGTCAGTTTAAACCTCCCCCCCTTGTCCCATCACTACAGGCCTTGGTAAAAAGTCTCTCTTCATCTTTCTTATAAGCCCCTTTATATATGGAAAGGCTGCAGCAAGGTCTCCCCAGAGCCTTCATTTTTCCAGGCTGAACAATGCCAACTCTCTCAGCCTCTCTCCATAGCAGAGGTGTTCCAGCCCTCTGCCCATTTCCATGGCCTCCTCTGGACCTGCTCCAACAAGTCCATGTCTGTCTTGTGCTGGGGGCCCCAGAGCTGGATGCAGTGCTCCAGGTTGGGGGCTCAGGAGAGCAGAGTAGAGGGACAGAATCACCTCCTTCGACCTGCTGGCCACGCTTCTTCTGATGCAGCCCAGGATATGGTTGGCTTTCTGGGCTGCGAGTGCACATTGCTGGCTCGTGTCCAATTAGTCACCCACCAGTATCCCCAAGGCTTTCTCTGCAGGGCTGTTCTCCATCCATCCATCCATCCATCACTCAATCTGTTCTGATAGTGGGGATTGCCCCAACCCCGGTGCAGGACCTTGCACTCTGCCTTGTTGAACTTCATGAACTTTGCATGGGCCCACTCTCCAGCCTGTCCAGGTCCCTCTGGGTAGCATCCCTTCCCTCAAGCGTATTGGCTGCACCGCTCAGCTTGGTGTCATCCATAAACTTGCTGAGGGTGCACTTGATGGCACTATGTCATTGATGAAGATATTAAATAGTATTGGTCCCTGTACGGACCCTTAAGGGACACCACTCATTACTGGCTTCCATTTGGACATTGAGACATTGACTGTAACTCTTT